TCAGAAACTTAATTTTTTTTGAATGACAACGCCCTATTTTCTCTCCGCTCTTTGCACGGTGCTATACTTCCTTTAATAAACATATTGCAATTTCAGTGGGAGTTTCACAATGGCTGGTCGACCACAAAAACAACAAACGTTGAAGATATTTGAAGCACTGAAGTGCAATATGAACCTGCTTCTTAAATCTGGAAAAATATTGCCACCATCTTCTAAGGAATGGGTTCGTCTAATAAAAGAGTATGGGTTGGAGTGCTCAACCAAATCTTTATATACTATAGCACTACGCGAACATTCTAAAAAACAATTAGAAAAGAGCGATATGGATTACGCGAATCCAAGTAGTAATGATGAATAATGATATAACCGAAAACGACAAATTAACACTGTGAAGTAAGTATAGCAACTAAACCACAAATGGTAATCAACTAAAACCACTAGTCACAGAAAACTTCACTTACCTGGAATTTAGTTAATAAATTGTGGTATCATCTATAAGAGAAATTATTTCCTATGAATAAATATTTTATATACGAATATGATATTTCGTAATAGTTTCCTCGTTTTTCCAGCTCTATTAAAAATTTTCAATGGGATTACGAAAAATCTTCAACGGCACACGGCCTGTAGCATTGTACCAAATTCCGAACTTCAACCCTTTCCGATAATATGTGTGCTACATAAAGACGTGACGATGACATCGACGTAGTGTTGAATAGTAAAGTTGTTGAAAAAACAGCTATGACGATGTAGTACACATATAAAAGATCTAATCTGTATGAGCTTGTCAACAAACACTTTCGATTAGGATATGCTGTCACCTGAACGTTTACTACAGTTTCTTTGTGCATTTTTTTCTGTCGTCGCATAGATCTGTATCCGTTATCACCACTTTTTTGGAACCAAAAATCTTTTTTTAACGAAGATGTAAGTACTCTACTACTAAATGATGTGGTACCACAAACCAAAACAAATCGTTGGTTATGGCAGCATGCGGCTAGTCGTTCGTACTTTCTTGATTATACAAGTAATAGTTGCTCACTCAGTATTGTAACCAAGATTATAGCAGAACATTATGTAATAATCGCCAATAAATAACCAAATCATTACTTGGGTAACGCTAAGTAAAGTTGGCCGTACCTATCTGTTTTTTCGAATAACTCAGTAAACAAAAGCACAAAATTTTTGTTTATCGGCAATAAATAGCACAAAATTAATTAGTATAAGTTTTTCGAAATTATTACGTGGGTATCGCTTAGTGAAGTTGGCCGTACCCATCTGTTTTTTCGAATAACTCGGTAAATTCAAAAGCACAAAATTTTTGTTTATCAGCAATAAATAGCACAAAAATATGGTTACAACAATTTTAAGTTTGGTGAAATGGGCATTGTCAACTTCAGCAGCTTCAACTAGCAGGTGTGGTGTGGCTAGTGGTTTACTTTTCAACACGCTTTTTGGAAGTATGCTTAAAGCAAGCATGTTTGTTGCTAGCAAATGTGAATAGCAGAAGAGCACGCTTGTTTCAGGCATGCTAACAAGCATGCTTTTTTCGAGCATGTGTGTCCGTACCTTTAGTTCTATGATTATGAAAGTAAAAGAAAGTCCAAATGGAAAATGTTTTGTACATTTTCAACCAGTAGCGTAGGAATAATCTTCATGTGCACACTGGGCAATACCGAGTGCTAAACATTCACGCCGCCTAAATGTCTCCCTCACAAAGCGGCTCGGCGCCAAGATGTTCCTGTGCCGAAGTGTCTCGGCGCCAAAATGTCCTAGACCGTATATTTTCCGTGCCTGATACGTTCCTATTACGGTCATGATACGGTACGGTGTAGTGGGCAGATACCTTTAAGCTTTGTGACAGAACCGGTTAAACAAAAATGAGAAATCAACATATGTCGAAAACAACAATACCCTTGTATCTGTAAGTAGTTGTTTAGTTTGTCTGTGTCTTGTTTCTTTTTCTTATTGTCAAGTTTATAATGTTAGTTTTGTACAACTGAAAGTTTGCGTAATTCTTTGCTTTAAATTAAACCGGTCTGAGCTCGCTAGTGAAAATTATATATATATATATATATATATATATATATATATATATATATATTACGCCAAAGTTTTTAGAAATCATAATACTTAAACAGTATCCAGCTACACTTTAAACCTTCCAGAACAACATAAGATATCGTTAAACTATATATTTGTATAACTTTGTACCTTGGACCAGGTAAATAAAGGGTTAATACAAAACTCTTAGTCTAAGGGTAAATAAATGAACTTTTTAACTGTAACCCTGTTTATTTCCTAGAAAATTTATGTATACAGAAAACATGGTTTTATCGCTTATTAATCAGATACATAAAAGTCTTATTTTTTCCTTTTTTTACAAAAGTCGCATAAATACATTTTCCATTCTTTCCCTTCAATTCCGGCGCACAAATAGTGCACCCAACGGCCACATGAAGTGCATTTACACCACTTCTCTCCACCTGTATCGCTCAACTTAGATGAACAACAATACAGGCATTCTTCTTCATCGCTGTCCTCATTATCAGTGGAAACAAGGTATCAAGTATATTCAAGTATCAACCAGTCCTTGATTCAGAAAGATTTCTTGGTCACAAAGTTACAATTGTAAACCTCTTATTAAATCTCATCGTCATGGACACAGAACAACCCTCAACATCGCAGAAAAGGAAAGTCAGCACGAAGCACATAGACCCTGATACAGGTGCACAGATACAAAACCCAAAGAGACCCAAGGTTAATTTAGACCCGAAAATAAAGATAAAAGTATTAAGGGCCATAATAATAATATATATATATATATTTGAATCAGAGGAAGAACTTGATTCCTGTTTGATTAGCTTCATCTTCTTTCCTTGATTTTTCTTGTTATGTTTGTCAGTTTTATTTTTTTCTGTTATCTCAAATAAAGTTCCCAGGTCTTTTGAAAAGGGTTTTCTTTCGGTCACAGTTCCTTTTTTCTTATCTCTTTTGGTCTATTGTTCTTTAATTATGTTCTTCTCAGGCGTGTCAGTAGCAATCATAGTTCTTCCTGGTTGTCTACCTTGTCTCTTCTTCTTACGGTGCTAAGCCTTGGGATAAGGTTGAACCTCTTCAGGGGTAAAGCATGATTCAGATGAAGACTTAGGATCAAAGGGCTCGGTAACTGAAGATGTGCTTGATAGCGGAGGATAAGAAACGATTGCTGATGAAGTAGACGGTCCAGGATCTAAGATTGAACAAGGAAGCAGTTGCTGAGTTTGACGGTTCAACGTTTAAAAAGGGCGCAGGGACTGAGCTTGAAGTAGTAGGTACTGCGCTTGAAGTATCCATAGGTCTGTCAGTGACATAAGAGCACAGGAAATCTTCGTCAGTAAAAACTGCTTCATCAAATGGATATATTCCAGATTTCTTGAATCCAGACATCACATTACTTGGAGTGAATGCTCTTGGATAAGCTGTGCCTAGGGCTTCCGCAATGCTATATATATCAAAGGTCTTCCCCTTGTTATTAAGCAGCCAGGCCTCAACAGCTTGATTGTAGTAAGTCTTAAGTGGTCCGTAAACAGAAAGGTCTAAAGGCTGTAGCCTGTGTGAAGTATGCGAGGGGAAAGTAACCACCACAATGCCTGCATTAGATGCCTTGTCAAGGACCTCCGAAGAAAGGTGGGTTTCGTGGTTGTCTAGAATGAGCAAGACACGATCATCCTTTGAGCTCTTGACAGTGTTCAAAGAGTGGTCCAAAAATTTAATGAATGTCGCTTCATTGGACCATCCAGAAGGATTAGCGGCCCCAATAGATCCTGCTGGTCCCCCCCCCCCCAAGAGCATCCTATCTTTGAAATGTACACGGGGAAATATCAACATAGGGGGCAACGAATGGCCAACTGCATTTACAGCAGCGATCATTGTTACTAAAGACCCTCTTTCAGCCGACGTAGCACTTCCTATCTGTTTTACCCCCTTTGGGGCAATTATTTTAGATTGGCCTTGGACTGTGCTGAGACCCGTTTCGTCTAAGTTCCAAATTTTATCAGGTGCGATAGGACCATATTTTCTGTGAACTTCTTTAATATGATTAAAGAAAAGCCCAACATTGCTCCTGTTGAAACTAGTCATGCGACTCAAGCTTGTCGCCTCCGGTTTACGAACTGACAAATCGCTGTGCCTCTTTAAAAACCCTCGCATCCATTCTTCCCTAGCAATTTCTTCCTCATTCCAAGTGGTAGGCATTTTTTTCTCATTGTCCCTGGCATACTTGAAAGCTAGGAGCCTCACACCTTTTTTGGTCAATCCGTACTGCATGTGGGCAACATTTTTAATATAGGTTACTAGGCCTTTTTCTTCTTCTTCTGTAAATACCTGCTTTACTGCAACGTTAGGTGAATAGTGGTATTCATCGGCATTATCGGCATTTTTAAATTTATTTACATGTCTTAGTAGGGTAGTTTTACTTATAACCAAACACTTTTGTTGCCTCTCTATAGGACATTTTCTTAAGTGGATCATTTGAGGTTACAGCCTCAATGGCCTTTTTCAATGAAACTTCATCTATTGGAGCTCTTTTCTTTCCTTCTTTGCTTCGCGGCATTTCCCTCCATACTCCTGTAACACAAGTAAAACACATGTGTTACAACGTCAGGTACAGGATGACGTTTGTATCCAAGGTACACGATGGTCTCGTTTTAAACAAAA